GGTGTTTAGGGGCCTAAAGATGTACTAAAGATGGTTACTCACCATGATGTCTCATGTGGTCCCTTAGTAGTCTCTCAGTAGAAAAAGTCTTGGAACAATGTGAACATTGGAATCTCTGCACTGCAATAAAGATAATTATCAATATATAGGTGTAAATTTTTGCTTACACTTAACAGTAATAAAAAATATTATTTTGGTCTAAAGATTTTTTGTTCATGAAATATATTTGAGACATTGAATGCTACAGTTGTCACTAGTGAATTGCAAGAGGTAAAACTTACATTCAACTGCTAACTGCCTGTCTAAGTGGTCTACATATTTAGTACGATTATAAAATAAACCACCACAAACACAACAACCATACATCTTCTCCTGAGTGTGGCTCTTTAGATGTTCCTTTAATTTGTATTTATTTTTACAGTTGGTATGGCAACCTAGGAGAAAAAAAAGTATCAAGTAAAGCTTAAAAATCAAATATACAATATGTAGTTATTCATGTGAATGGGGTGTTAGTTCAAGCAAAGCAGTGCATATGAAAATTCAATATAAACAACATTTTTACAATGCACATGGGACCAGTATAGAACAAAATACAATGCAATATCTGCCCCTAAATACTGTAAAAAATATTTGTCCATTACTACACATGTAAACTACTTTTATTTTGCATGCAACAAAGTTAGAGAGTTGTATGAATCTTTAAATTTAAATAATGTCACATAACATCCTGTATTACCACTTTATTGTTTATGCAAGGTAGAAAATGAATGAATATAATAAGTCATAAGATGCAAAGATATAATGTGTTATCCACAACCAAATAACAAACTACAAATAGGGGAAGATGTACAACAAAAAGGTTGTATGCATATACATGTAACTCGCCTCCTCATAATCTGCATACCACACTACATATAACTCACCTCCCATCTGCATACCACACTACATAACTCGCCTCCCCATCTGCATACCACACTACATAACTCACCTCCCCATCTGCACACCACACTGCATATAACTCACCTCCCTATCTGCATACCACACTGCATATAACTCACCTCCCCATCTGCATGCCATACTACATAACTCACCTCCCATCTGCATACCA